TCGCTGTTATTTGGTTGTGACGTAGGTAATGCACCGTTAACGGGGCTAACTGGTATATTAAACTTTTCCCAAATCTTGTAGGAAGAAGGGCAATGACGTCTTTCCCCTTGATGAAATTCATCAAACATTCTCTTTATTCCGGCTTTAAATCCTCGATGTCGGGAATCGTTGACAACACTGAATATATGGCTCTTCGCTGATTGGCTGGTGCCTGAACTTGCACTTCCGAGCTTTTTGCAAACCATCTAGTGTATTTTGATTCCTGACCTAATTGCTGGAGAGAAATGAAATTGAGCGGAGGCACTAGGTGGTGCCAGTCTGGCTGCCAGTTTCCCCCCCTTCAACCCAAAACATTCAGAATAGATCAAATGCTCCAGCTAAGGCAGTCGTGACCAAACGTATCTCAAGATCTGGAGATGGGTTCCTGACTGCTCCTGACAGGTTGCCCCAGTGACACTGAAGCATGGGTCAAATGCAGAGGACAGATTTCCTTACAGGGACAATGAAGTGTTCCTTAACTTACTCTTTCCGTCTGGGCCCGTTTAAACTGAGTCGTGATTCAGTCATATCTAATCATCAATGATGAGTAAAAGCATGGGATGTGGAGCATAGTTTGGAGGAATATAGTTCACTTTGTGTGTGTTAAATGTCAATTATTAATGTGTGGAACATAATATGAGACATGAGGCCCAAAGTTAATGAGATAGTTGCTTGGGTATAGCAGCTACCTTGATATAGTAGTGTGAAGTAAGAAAGTAAACAATTTTAAATTTCATAAACATTTTATCTTTGTCCCCCAGATATGATGTAAACGTGTTCGAATCAAATATAACTTTTACTGATAACAATTTTACTATTTTACTATCCAATCAGAAAGCAGAATTATCCTAACATGAGTCTTTCATTTGGGTTGCAGACAGTTTCAAAGCTTAAATCCAGCTGGTTTAAGTCTAAAATGCCTCTCTCTGATCTGAATGGTCATTACCTAAACTGTTTGTGTGCGAGTGAAGACAATGGCCACCCAGTTTTTCAGTTGTGATAGTACACTTTTTTAATAACTGTGAGCGTGCAGGCTACATACAGTTCCTTTAAACTTGAAGGTGAACTTTTACTTTCTTTCTTTTTGAGTACAGTATTTAGAAGTTCACTTTTTGACCTTTACGTGTTACTTTGTCTGCCGTTGTTAGTCATATGTTTATTAAAGGCAAACGTCTATGGAGAAGCAACTCAAAGGTCAGTGCTGGTAATGAGCAGGTCCCAGAGGAGGTGCTCTTTTAACCAGCTAAGCACTGCGCACCGGGGACTCTCCTTCCAAAACAAAAGCACCATTTGAACCCACGGAGAATTACGCAGTATTGCACCAAACAAGTGAACTCTAATCAACAAGTAACAAGTGATGAAAATGATGAAAACTTTATCAAACTTTCACTGCAGTACAATGTGGAAAGTTTAATCCTCTTCAGTTATCAAAGTATTATAGATTTCTTGACATGTTTGACTAAAGTTCAGTTGCTGCATTTCAGAAGACATTACATTCTAGACCCTTTAGGTGTATTGGGGGTTACGTCACAGTTTCCAGTCTTGTAATGTTCAAATAATGTGGATTTTCTTTAAGATGCGTCATTATCACAATGCAATAATCAATATGAGACAGGTAAATGCTCAGGGAAATTTAGGCAGGAAATTTATGCACCCCCGTATAAACATTCTGCTAATGCACAATTCATACACAAAGTAATTCAAAGTGCTTTACAGAATAAGAAAGATATTAAAATTAAAAGGTGCAATTAAAGGGGCACCATCACCTACATGTCAGTGAAATTACTGCGTGACCTGAAATGTTCCAAAGTATGCCATCAAATGTAATACTAATTGAATTACAAAAAAATATTTATTCAATCAGCATTTTTATTGAAAATAGATAAATAAATAATATACTCCGGAACATTTCAGGTAAAGGAATAACCTCTCCATAGAGCCAAGCAGATCTCAAGCCTTCCACCAGAAATGTGGAAAAGCGCATCTTTAAAATGGCTGTGCACCATTACTTTGTAATGTAGCTGAGAAAAATTAGTTTTGCCCCAGGACAGATATGTTGGTCAAGAAACTGGGAAAGAAAGCTGTGTATTGCTGCAAGTGTTTTATCCTCAGAAAATCTGGAGTGCGACGTTAGCATGCTGTTTGTTCGCAGTACAGAGACAGAAAAACTCCACTCTGGCCTTGGGATGTTTAGAAGCACACTAATAAACTTATTAAGGTGAATACTTAGGATGTGATGTGTTAGGAAAGTGCTACTGTAAAAATATATATTTGTGTAATGACGGAAAAAGTGCCCTTAAAGCTTATGTACTTATTAAAATCAGCAGGTCATGGATGCTATGTACTTTGAACCGTCAGGAATTTTCACTTTCATCACAGTTGTCCTCTGAACAGGTTGGTGCTTCAATTCTGTGTCTCACCAACAGAGGTGGGTAGAGTAATCAAACATTGTACTCAAGTAAGCTTTAAATTAATATTACTCAAGTAGAAGTACAAAGTATTTTGGTCCAAGAAAGAGTAAAAAAAAAGTTAAGTATGTCTGAACACTTCTACTCAAGTAACAGTAACTTACAGAGTAACTATTGGGTCATAATATCTAATTTACAATGTTAATGTAATTTACATTTTACATTTGATTATTTATTTCTGTCACAGGTGTATTTTAACATTAAATCAGAGACAGTCATATTTAACATACACATACCGGAAAAGGTGTAGGCTGAAGCTTAATCTTATTATGCCTACCCTTTATTCCTTTGTCAGAGCATCATCTTAACACCAGTTCATCTTCATAAATACAGCAAGAGGAAACAAACAAATCAGTAACAGTACAACAAAGTACTACAGCACAAACTAAGTATCATATTTCATGTATCTGTCCAGAGTTAAACATTTAAACTTCTTTATAAAGTGAAAGAGACTGGTGCACAATTTTAGGTTTTCTGTACAGTTTTTCCAGAGCTCCACCCCTTTAACAGATACACAACATTTCATAATGTTTGTTCTAAGTTTCTTTTTGATAAACATGGCTGTGCCTCTGAGCTCATATTGGCTCTTTCGGATTTTGAACATGTTCTGTAAAGATTTTGACAGGAGATTATTGTTTATTTTGAACATGATTTTTAGAGTATAAAGGTCGACTAAATCATAAAATTTCAGAGTTTGAAGGTTTATAAATAATGCATTGGTGACTGGTGATTAGTTTGAAGGACTAGACCAGGGATGTCCAAACTTTTTCATTAAGGGCCACATTTCTAAACACAGATGAAGCAGAGGGCCGTTCGAGGGCCATAGACTGGAGCTCAATACAGTGAATAATTAAAATATGTGCAGGTTTAACACGTTAGAATGAACCATCAGTCTTTATTCATGCTAAGATCCATAAACCCACACACTAAATATTAAATATTTGCTTCATTGAGGTAGATTTTCAAAAAATCTTGTAGTAAAAAGTTCATTTTAATTGATGCAAGGTAATTTGGGCCAATTCATCTGGAAGCCTGAGGGCCAAGAAAAATTTGTTTGAGGGCCACATTTGGCCCATGGGACATAGTTTGGACATGCCTGGACTAGACATTAAATAATGCACAAAATCTCGCATTTTCAAAGAATGGACACAAAAATTTGAAAAAAAAACAACCCCAAAACATTATATCAGAAGGCGCTGTACAAAAATCTGAAATGCAAATAATTTCATATTGTCAACATAAAGCACTTGTCACATGTGGAAGAATAACTACAGCCTTTACTCAAATAAAAATACTTCAGTAAAAATATTACTGAAGTATGATTACAAGTTTGCTGCTAGAAAAGTACTCTGAAAAGTACAATTTATTTTTAAAAAGTTACTCAAGTAAATGTATTCGATTAAATGTAAATATTTCTCACTTCTGCTCCTCAATTCATTCCAGCTGTTCTTTGTACGTTGTTACTGTGTCTGTTAAGATGTTTGTCCTCTGCATTTGACCCGTCCTTCCAGGCTGCTGGGTAATCTGTCAGGAGCAGTGATGTGGTGAAAACTCCACAACAAAAGGCCCCATCTAGATAGACTGATATGTAAAATAAGATAAGATACAAAGACACATAGATAGAAATGGTGTATGGTCACACTTTTATACAGCACTTTTCCAATGTCAAGACACCCAAAGTGAAGGAACAAATCAACCACTCACACACACACATACATACATACATTGGACATACATCAGTGAATGCAGATACTGGGGCAAGATGAGATAAGTGTCTTGACCAAGTACAGAATGACAGCATTCGTCTGTGAGAGCTGGAATCGCACTGCCAACCTGTGGGCCAGTGGATCTGACTGCTCTACCAATGATGTTTATGTCGAGATATAGATAAATAGATAGCTAGATAGATGATGAAGGTAATGTATGTTTCATATACAGTACTTGTACACAACCCTGACACTGACCTCCTGCACGTGACAGGCCTTTGAAAACTATATACTGGATTAAAATCACTGGATTCACTTTAGCACATGTGTAATAGTCAACAAATGACACTGGAGGGAGCCGTTACACTGCAACCTTAGGCTGCACGTGTCATTAGAATGGATAACTCTCATCAACAGATTAAATTTATGCTCGACCTTTCTCCATGCCTTTTACTGAGAATGCCCTCTTTTATGAACAGTCTGTAAAATAAATAACCTGTATGTGGCTTTGAAATCTGTTATGAAACGGATTTTAACTTGACTTCAGTTGTTGGCATGGCAGACTCTCCACACTAGAGGGAGCCATTGCACCATTTAAGAAGCAGCAAGACTCATCACACTGAATCATGATCTAATAATCTTTGTTTCTAGGCTATGCTTAGTTTGAAATATCTTAATTATTTCTTACAAAACCTATTCAGTCTACATCAATATAGCTAGACAGACAGACATCAAAAACCATTTAAAATGTACATTAAAAAACACTAAAATACAAAGTTGTCTCTTTTATTGTCTTCTGTGTTGTAATATCGACAAATACAAAAAAAGATTATTACAATATACAAAATGCATAGTCCAAAAGTAGAGGGTATTGATCGGTGGTTATCTTTTCATACACAGTACAATTTCATTTCAAACCTCTTACTTCCCTCGCATCTGATCAGCCAAGAAAACCAACATGGCCAATGCAAAGTGGATGAAATTTTAATGCTACGCTACAAACAAAAATAAATGCTATGTCACAGTATGGGTCATGTGTTATTTCCTATGGAGTGGCAATCCAACTTCATTTCCTGTCCTTATCCCCAAATATTCTAACCGACTACTATAAAAAAACGCTATAAATAGTTCAATAGCAAATCATATAAAACAAGTATAAACATGTTGTTTTTGTCTGACTATGACCTGATTTCTACTGTCTTCTATCTACATTTTCAGTTTACAGTTTGCCTAATCTCTGGTATGAATATATTTTTACATAATATTTTTCAATATAAAACTCAACTAAAACCATTGAGTGTATCCCAGACGCAACCAGCAAAAACAATATGGCGTCATTTACATTAAGAGCAAGGTAAGTTGTGTTTTGAGAGACCCGCTTAAGGCCATAAAGTCTTTGGGAAATAGCCTATAGTTTGTCCATTTTGGTTGATGGTTCGATTTCCCCCTGTCTGTCCGTGATGTGCCTCGTTCCTCTTCCTGGTTTGGGGTGTCTTGCTCACTAACACACAGGTGAATTACTTCCTGGACAGTAACTGATTCTCCAGCTGTTCGAGGCGAGCGGTCATCCCAGCCAGTGCACAAAGAGTTAAGAGAAAATAAACAGTAGTACATAGTATACAGTGAAGCAGAGTAAATATTTGAAAATACTAGAAGATAAAATGTTTAACTTCAAACATCAGTGTCAGCCAACAACACAGGGTTGTCCTATATCATCATTGCTGTTTCTGATAACACCAAAACAATTGCCACAAGACTGAATTTCAAAACAAGGATGGTAGGGTGAGTAGTTGATCTGCATAAGGTTCTTTACACTAACCCATATCTCCAAGCTGTACATGCAAAAAACAATATAATGAATATAAAAATAGAGCATGTAAACTTTTAAAGATACGCCTGGGTAAATAAATGCTGGTTTTGTAAAATGTTGCACAAATTACTTTTGTAAAGCATCATAATCATCATTACCTAAATATTTTGAACCACAAATCGATATCATTCACTACACCTTCACAAAAAGGTGCAATTACTGAGCCTGTGTACTTATTTTTACACACTGTAAACCAGGGGTCTTCTGTTCTAGTTCTGGTTTAGCTATTGATCTATTTCATTATAGTTCTATGGGTTTAGCCCTGGTTATGTCCAGGTTTAGTCCCAGCGATGTGTAAGATTTTTATGACTTCTGCATGTCTAATGTATAAATTAACATCTAGACATAGTTGTTGCAATATTTTGATAACAACATTCAGAACATAGTTTAAAAATGCATAAGGAATGTGCTCAGATGAGTTTGATAATGTCTCAGCTGAGATTTAAGATTGAGATAGTTTTTAACAACTTGTCGAGCTACTTCGGAGGAAATTTTTATAAAAGAATGAGAACTTCGCACATGAATTACTTGAGACAGGTGTGTTGGAGGAGAGGGAGCAGCCCAAGAACATAGAGAAAAATCCCGCACACCATCTTGCTTGCAAATTGTGAGATTCATTAGGACAAACTGCAACATTTCAGCACTAGGCCTTCTGAAACGTTTGCCTGACGAAGGCCTAGTGCCGAAACGCTGCACAGTTTGTCCCAATGAATCTCACAATTTGCAAGCAAGACGGTGTGCGGGATTTTTCTCTATACAAATATTTTTTTTAAATGTAGTTTTAAAATAAATAATACAAACATTATTGTATTTTGTCACAGACTCGTACACAACCCCTGAGCCCCTGCATATGAAGATCCCCTTGACAACCGTGTAACCTGATCGTGTACTATGGATTCACCTGGCACAACTGTAATATCCAACGAATGACACTAGAGGGAGCTGTTGCACTGCACAACAGTCCTTACGCGTGTGCCATCAGTGACTTGCTCTCATCAGCAGATTAAACAGGTCCTCAAGCTCGCTTCTTGCCTTTTACTGAGAACGCCCCCCTTTGTGAGCAGTCTGGAAAATACTGTACTGTTCTCGGCTACAGTTGTTGGCACGGCAGACTCTCCACACTAGAGAGAGCCATTCTACCACTTAAGAAACTGCATGACTCATCACACTGAATCATGATCTAATAATCTTCGTTTCTATCTTATGTTTTGCGAGCATAAATACCCCCAATTATTGCTGACAAAACCTATGTAGTCTACAGACAGGCATGGATGGATCTTAATATTCAACAAATGACACTGGAGGGACCTGTTATACTGCAATTTTTTGGCTGCATGTGTCAACAAATAACTCTCATTAGTAGATAAAATATTAACCGTACTCAACCTTGCCTCTTGTGTTTTACTGCTCCCCTTTGTAAGCAGTCTGGAAAATACATGTCAAAACCTGTATGTGGCTTTGAAATTTGTTATGAAATTGACTTTTGTTCTCAGCTACAGTTGTTGGCATGGCAGACTTTTCACACTAGAGAGAGCCATTGTACCACTTAAGAAGCTGCATGACTCATCACACTGAAGCATGATCTAATAATCTTTGTTTCCGTTTTGTTTTGTTACATCATATATATATATACCATCAATTATTGCTGACAAAACCTATATAGTCTACAGACAGATAGACATGGATGGATAATTGGTCGATTTTTGTCCTCATTTCTTGTTTAAAACTAGATATTGGATTGTCATTTGTAAATCTATTTTAGTCCTAATTCAAAATAAGAATAATCACAATCAGCACCTAGATAGATAGACAGATAGATAAATAGATGGATGGATAGATGCATGGATAAATATACAGATAAAAGAGTTCCCGTTTATATCATCCAGTCTGCCTCTCATTCTTTACTTCCTCTGACCATATCACGTGTAGCTAATGGCTTTTATTGGAAGTGTGTGGTGTGGAGCTGAAGGAGAGTAGTACACCGGATAAGCCTTCTCGCTCTGTGCTGTCCTATCCATTTGTTTCAGAAATATGAAAAAACTAGGACGATTTGCCATACTGATTAACAATTTAAAAGATTCTATATTTCTGTTTTCTATACAGACAAACACACATAACAACACTGTATCTCCAGCTGTGATTGGACAGAGCTCAGATAATACTCAGTTTTACAGTTTTGGATCAATCAAGTATTATATGAAAGCCAAAAACGTTAAACTGTATAAAAAAGTATCTAGTAATGCATACGTTTTTACTTTTACTTAAAGTGGAACTAAACACCGAATCAATATTTTCTTCTACTAAATTGTGTACACCGTGTTTTAATAGCCGTACCTTTTTGTCAATTTTAGCGCAAACTTTGTAAATTTGCAGCTTTGTGTTCAAAAACAGTCAAAACTGAGTGTGCGCTGTTTCCAATGACCACTGCAATTTCAAGTACTACGTGACATAACACAGCCTTGATTACAGCCAGGCATTTCTAATTATAAATAGACTAATGACATTGTTCCTTATACCCATCTGAAAGAGTTTATTAGAGTCTTTAGCCCCACTTTAAGTACGCTTGAAGTACATTTTTAGCCATGTAACTGTAGTATAGAGTGTTAGAATTCTTTCCACCATTGCCCATGAATACACAGTAAAACAAAGGATATGTTTTTGAGTAAGCTGCTCCAGACTGCTCATGGTGGCCTGTTGGAACTCCACCAGGCTCTCACAGGCGCAGGGGTCCTTCACCTCGATCTCCCCCTGGCTCTCCGCTGCACGGGAAAGGACAGAGGAACAGTCAGATAAAATACACTTTACACAACATAAAATGAGTCATGTATACGTAAATCTAGTTGAAAAGACTCAAGTTATTTTGACTAGTTTATCTTTATTTACTTAGTTGATCTAGAGATCACTTGACTTGTCTTAAAGTGGCTGTGCGTGTTTTTCCATGCTGTTGAGCAATATTTATCTTACTGTAGCACAAATACTGTATATTGTATAAGCTTTTCACTATTATCAAGTCCACTATTATCATGCTAGTTGTTATTACCTTGACTCAAAAAAGGAAAAGCACAAGCAAAACCCATCACGATGAAAGATCAGGATGCTAGAATGAACTATATTACTATATTTCTATAATTTTAATATTTACTTGTACATATACATATCATTTTGCTTTATTTTGACACCTGTCTCTTGTTATTTTTGCTACTTACTTTGAATTTATTATTACAATTTATATTGTTGCTCTTTATTATTACAGAATTGTTATCTGTGATCCACTATGTCCAAATAATTTCCCTTGTCGAACAATCAAGTTTATAACAAAATTGAGGAATCACTTTGGACAGCTGCAAACCGATTAAAAAACTATTTCAGCTTTTCAGGTTTTATACGACATTTATTTGAATACTTCCTTTTTAAAGTGAGACTGATTACTGAGTTTAACCACGTGCATTTAGAGGCAGTTGTTTTGGAGTGCTTTACCTGGGCACACGTTGAGTTTGAGGTTCTCTGCGATGGTGCTAATGGCAGAGAAGTCCGTCGTGTAGTAAAAGTGTTTTTCCACAGGGTCAGATGCAATCTCCCTCAGCTCGTCTTCTACAGCTTTGCCCACTCCAACTGCATACATGGTGATGCCTGCGGAACAGAAACATTATAGTGCACATTCACCTAAAACATTTAACTATTCATATATGCTCAGATCATTGGTCTACAGTGTGCTTTTCAAGTTGGGATGGTCTAAAATGGATTTTTGAGCTGATACCGCTCTCAAATATTTGCCCTGCTGCAATCGATAATAATGATATTTAGATTATAAAAACCAGAGCAAGGCCCATAAATGTATGTTACACAAATATATCACAAATGAACTTTTATTTATTCATGTATTTATCAGGATACAACCATTTGCTCCAGGGCCACATCTCTATTTTCAAAACACTCACTTTGGCACATTATACATTCTGGAATTCATACAATTACAAGGTAAGTGCACAACAAGTATGTGCCTGTCTTTCTAGTTTAACAGATTACAATAAGTCAGAACATGGAAAGAAGCTAAAGTATCCTTGATCTGCAAACTTAAGAGATAAAAAATTAAAACCGGTGATTGTGGTTAGTGGGTGAAAGTGCATAAGCACTGTACCACTTTCTGTTTAGCTGAAGCTACATTATGTATAACTCTTGGCATTGGTTCAATACTCTACTAGGATGCAGTCTTAATGTAGTCTTGGTTTGGTCCTGTTCTAGTTCTGGTTTAGCTATTGATCTATTTTATTATAGTTCTACGGGTTTAGCCCTGGTCATGTCCAGGTTTAGTCCCAGTTTTGATGACTTCTCCATGTCTAATGTATAAATTAACATCTATACATATTTGTTGCAATATTTTGATAACAACATTCAGAACATAGTTTAAAAATGCGTAAGGAATGTGCTCAAATGAGTCTGATAATGTCTCGGCTGAGATTTAAGATTGAGATAGTCAGACACACACAATATAAAAATTTTGAAAAACTCCAAAACATAAATAGTAATCTTAATTTCACAATAATTTTTCTTTTTTTTTTTGTCCCTGACATTCTCTATATGTAGTGCCTTACCAGCCTCCTTGGCCTTCTTGGCATACTCGGTGATGTCATCCTGGGAGCGCCCATCGGTGAACACCAGGCCTATGCGGGGGATGTTACGGGCGGCAGGACGAGCCCCCTCTGCCTCAGAGAAGCTGTTCTCCAGCATGTGCTTGAGAGCCAGGCCCGTCATCGTCCCCTTCTCCATGTACTCCACCTGAGCAACACGCACAGTACAATTCATTTACAACTAAATACATTTCTTTAAAAACTGCATTAATAAAAATTTTCTGACATTTGCTGGAATCATGATGAGGTTTTCTGTATTGGTTTCATACATGATGAGATCAAAGATAAGTTCTCTTACAAGAAGATATATCTATATTTTTGTTTAGCTGTTTTTATTGACTGAAAAGACTGCATCTGCACTTTGTCACCGGTTAGTGGATGACCGCTTAAGCACTTTACCACTGTGTGTTTAGCTCTATTTTGTTGATAGTAATTTATGTATCAGTTTCAGTGAGGTGAAACTACATAATGTATTACTCTTGGCGTTGGTTCAGTACTACCAGGATGCCTTCTCACCAAGATGGTCCTGGTGTAGTCTTAATGTCAAATAGACCACTAGCACAATTTGGAACACAGACATCTCTTTTCTTCACAGGTACAGATTATTGCTGCACTTTCCTAATCAAAGCCAGAGCAGGTTTTTCAACATACCTGCTGTGCTACACTTGGCACTATAGAGGGAGACATTACACTACTTTAAATGCTACATGACTCATCATGTTCAGCATCCTGTCAGTATCCTGTTTTTCAATGCTCAGTTACAGTTAATACTTAACAAATATTTGTAAGAGAATAGACCAATCCTTGAACCACCGAAACCTGTTATTGTGCAATTCTATTTTCAAGAGTAAGTGGATGTACATTGTTGTACAGGTTGCTTTCGGTTTCTTGGAAATGATGTCACTGTCTCCGATGAGGGCAGGGGGAGTATTCCTGTATCGATCGTGACTTTACATACAGTATCTAAGAGGAACAGTCTGCTGAGACTGATCATTTTCACTTTCAAGCTAAATATTATTTTCTTAACCACACTGAAAAAAAATCTGTTCATCTTAGTGAAAAAAAAAAAGTACTAAAATAATTTGTTCTGGTCCTGTTTTGAGCCCAGTTTAGTCCTGTTTTAGACCGGGTGTAGTCCAAGTATTAAATTATGTTTTAAAAAGGCACGGTGTAACCTTTCAGGAGATGTTACTGCATTGCCTAGAATGCTATACAATGTTAAAATTAATTAAAATTACATTAAAAAATCGATTTCCATCTAGTCACAGTACAAATACCTAGAGACAATAAATAAATTTAATCTCATACAGTGGCACATTTGGTAACACTTTATTATAACTACTTACAGCCTTAATAAAGCATGAACAAAGACTTAATTCATCATGAACAAATAGTTTAGAAAGAATGATTGAGGCTTAGGAAGTTTCCATTTAAGGATTAGTACTTAAGAGATTTAAGCAGCCAAACCCAATTTATTCCCATGAATTTGACTTGCCCCAACACAGATATATTGTGCCCTTGAGAATCAGGAAGTGTTCTGTCAGAAAAATTCTGCTCTGGTCTCATCATGGTGTAGAATTAGTATGCCTGGAATACATAATGTGCGTGAGAAATACCCTTTAAACTTTTTTTAAAAATGAACTTGTTTTTCACGTTTTAAGACTGTAAAAATCAGCTACATTGCCTGATAGTAGTTACTAAGCTTGAATCAGTCTTAATAAACTATTAGCTCATTATGATTTAAGTCTTAGTCCATGCTTTATTCAGTGTCCTATATTATGCAAAATTGACTCTTGTGAGCTTTAAGCCATGTTATAATGTTACAATACCTCATCAAAAACATACCTGGAGTTGCATTTGTGTTTCGTTTATACATCTGAATAACCCTCCATTATTAGTCTACATCTCTAACGCTTGCTCCCTTCCACCATGTGATTTCAGGAGGCAGTAGCTTTCAAGCTTAAATACTGTATTGCATATTGTTGTATTGAGTTCCACTTGTGGACTGTAACGGACTCATAGTGTGTGTTTGTGTGCATGTGAGAAGTGAGAACTGCTCTGAGAATGCTGCAAATGAGTTGCCCCATGGGATCAGTAAAGTTTTCTGAATCATTAGTTAACAGCTACCTCTTGTTTAGTAGAGATTGGAAATTCCAAAGCAGAAATGAACCAAATGATTCTAATGAAGCTGTATGGAATTCAAAAAAAAAAAAAAACTGTGGCGGTCTTCCTGTATTACTACATGTCAAGTGTTTTCCATCTGAGAGAAAAATACAACCTAAATATGCAGGATTATTGTGTAAACTATGTGTGAATAAAATAAAATGCAACTTCAGATATGTTTTTGATGAGGAAGCAACATTATAACAGAACTGGAAATGAAGTAACATGGACCCTTTAACTCCCATGCACTCCGGCTGGTACCTTCATGACGGCAGCCTTGATCTCGTCGGCAGTGTGGTACATGTTGAGGGGGAACTCGGTGCGGACACGGCTGGAGTACTGGACCAGACCCACCCTGGTGCCGTGAGCAGACACGTCCAGAGAGTCCACCACCTGGTTCACAAACTTCTTCACCAACTCGAAGTTCTGAGGTCGCACACTTTTAGAGCCGTCGATCACAAGAACCAGGTCAATGTTGGCGGATTTACACGCTGGAGAAAAAGAAATGGAACATCACAGTAGCTATTTTATTGACAGTTGCAACAAACTGGGAGTAGCTTCTTTTACTACAAACAATATGTTATTTTAGGGATAGACTTAGGGTGACCAGATTTTGGGGTGACTGGTAGTGATAAAATTGAAATGAAAAAAAAAAAATAAAAAAATTGTAAAAAATAAAATAACAAATTTAAATGACTGTGTAATTAAGAAGAATACTGTAGTTCTGCTCTTGGCCCTTTCATGACTAACATGTGAGTCAGTATAGTCACATTTTCTTTCTGTTTTGGTAATTTTTAAGCATCCTTTTCTGTATTTTCCCTAAACAAGTGACAATTTATGCCTTCTTTTACTGAGGGCAGGGATCAAATTGGTCAAAAATAGGGACACCTAGGACATTTCTTGTATAAAACTGGGACAAATCACTGGTTTTGGATAAATCTGCTGGGACAGGGGACACAGGGCACAAAACTGGGACTGTCCAGGGTAAATAGGGACGTCCAGTCACCCTACATAGACTACAACTCAATCACCTGGCTAGCTGCTACTACCTGGAGTTATGTAAAATCGAACACTCCTTCACATTCAAATAAATGGTGAAGCTAATCCTCGTATTAAAGAATATAACATGTGTATTTCAGTATAGGTATGTCACCAGTAACACCTGAAAGAGGACATTTAGATGTGACCTGATGTTCACCAGACCCACACAAATTCAGAAATCTCAGCAGTGGGTTAGTTGTTAATTCAAATGCCACTTTTATATGTAATTATGATCTAAAATAAGACATCAAAAAGTTTACACACTCAGCAGTGACTTTAAATGAGGCTCTGGTCTCATTTAAAAGTGGTCGATAGGTTAGTACCAAATGACACCCACTGGATTATTCATAATTTATGTTTTTTGTGAAATAATGCTAATTGCTATAGGAAAAAATACAGTGGAATGGTGATCCAAAATCTTTCCAGACTAGATGAGTTGCTGAGTGGATGGGAGCATAACATACAAAGCACCATCTACTAATTATATGCCTGTGATTTTTAAAGTAATCAGATGCTGGAAGAGGTACCTTAGAGTACTCTATAGCCAAATGACATCAGTCCTTACAAGGATTTTCGAAACTTTCTAGTATGCATGTATACTGAAATTGTGAATTTGCATATTTTCAGGTATTTCAAAGTTTCAGTCAGAGCAAAATAGTCCAATGACATTCATTTGGTCTTCCAATATTTTATGTTATTAGGTTCTTTTTTCAGACCAAGAGTTTTGTTTCATACCTGACATTCCGACTGCTCACTAGCGCTCTTCCTCAGAGTGGTCATGTAATGTTACTGTGACGTGTCTGGTCAGCTGATTTATACAGGTTTTGGTGCTGTCTTCCTACTGGTGGCATCAGGATGACAGCGCCATCTGCAGTCCGACTTCCTCAGGACAATATCCCGGGTGTGTGAGAGTAAAAAAAAGCCCCCTCTTCCTGGTTTATAGTCCCGTGGGCACGTGGGACACTGTCCACTGTCATCCTGCCTCCATTGGTAGGAAGACAGCGCAAAAACCTGTATATATCAGCTGACCAGACACGTCACAGCAACATCACATGACCACTCTGAGGAAGACCACTAGTGAGCAGTCAAAACTGTCAGGTATGAAACAAAACTCTTGGTTTGAGCAAAATAGTTGCTTTTCTAATAACAATAAGTAAAACTGTATCAAAATTAGTCATTAGTATATTTTTTGTATATATTTATGTACAGGATTTAAAAAGTCTCTATACTCTAATCTCTATTCAGCATTCATATTGTAGTTTGCTTAGATGTAGCCAGTTGGAGCAGTGTTTGAACTAAAAAAATAATATAAAATCCTGTGTCCACGGTTCTGAAGATTTTGGCAGGCATATTGCATTTCCCATGACCCCTCTGGAGAAAGGGACATTTTACAATAACAGTTCATCATTGTCCAGTCCAGCTTAGCTCCAGACAAAGTTAATCTGCTTTTGACATCAGAGTGAACCTGTTAAAATTACACAGAGCTACTACAAATTACCTTCTGTGTTAGAAAGAATATAACCAGACCCTTAGAGAGGTGACATCATCATGCAATACTGTTTAGGCTGGTGATTGATTTAACAAAAATGCAAAAAAAAAAAAAAAAAACTTTCTTCATTTAAAGTAATTATAAAAACTGTTGACCTTATAATAATATTGTTTTGATTTCCACCTGATTACATTTAAAGCCCCATTATGAAACATCTTGTGGTGGGAAATCTACTTGCAATTATCGCTACAACCAAGTGCCTTAAAATACCCATAATGAAATGTATGCTTCTATTTTGGTCTTTTTTTTTAATCCAGAATGTTACACAGTGGGGCTTTAAAACCATTGTAGTGACTTCTCATATTCATAGTGTTTCTTGAGTGTATAATGGATAAAATGAGTGTGGAGGACTTACTGCCACAGCTCTTGCCGTCGTCCTGCAGCAGTTGGCCCTCGGGACAGATGCAGTAGTAGGACCCAGGGGTGCTCACACACTGGTGCTCACAGCCGTGTGCCACTGTCTTACACATGTCCATGTCTGAGAACAATCAGCATACATTATTTATCACTGAAGGGCAATTTAAAGTTCATATGATAGGTTAGATGACTCATTTCACTAAAACATAGAACTACACTTTTTTTGGAGTCATAATTTTTGACTTGATAATTTGACTTTTCACTCAACTTGTAACACTACAGTCTATCCCACCAAACCAAGTAAGAATAAAAAAAAAACATGAAAAGTCCTACCAATCATTTCATAATCAGTTCAAATTCAAAAGAGGTTAAATGGTAATTTTCAGTCAAAGGATTGACTGACAGAAATAACAGGTCTGAGGTCATCGCCATCAACCAGGCCCTCCATTTCATCCTGCAGCACCTGGACTCCCTGGGAACCTCCCTGCTCTGCTCCAGGACAAACTCTCTCTGCTCGGTGTGCCCGACTGCACCTGCAGGGGGAGCACAGACTTCCTGACAGACCAAAGTCAGTGTGTGTGGCTGTGGAAAAATGTCTCGAACTCTCTACAGCAGTGTAATCCCCCACTCTTCTTGCTGTACACCAACTGCTGCACCTCCAGACACAACTCTGTAAAGTTGATCAAGTTTGTAGACACCACCCTCAATGGATGAGCCTGCCTACAGTAGGGAGGTGGACCAACTGATGACCTGGTGCACTGGCATCAACCTGGAGATGATGAACTACACTTCCTGTGGCACCACCATCAGCCAGGACCCAGGTGGAGCCCACTACCACCTCCATCATTAAGAAAACCCAGCAGAGGATGGACATGTAGCAACTGAAGAAGGCCAAGCTGCGAGCCTCGATGATGGTACAGTTCTGCACGGCCATCACTGAGTCCATCCTCACCTCCTCCATCGCAGCTGTGCATCGGGACACAGACTGCAACAGCACATTGTGCGCTCTGGTGAGAAGGTGATCAGCTCCACTGTACCACTCCAGGACTCGGGGGGCCGGCAGGTCAGTTTGCAGCTGACCCTTCTTACCCTCAACATGGACTATTTGAGTCACTCCCCTTTGACAGGAAGCTACAGTCCATTTGGACCAGAACCTCTCGTCACAAGAACTCTTTCCCTCTGCCTTTGGACTCATAAAGTCTTTATAAGGCCTTACCATTCCAGGCATTATCCATAAACCTATGTTTCTGAACTTACTTGTGCAGGTCTTCTTGTCCTGGTTGAGTTTAAATCCCTTGTTGCAGTCACAGGTGAAGGCTCCAGGAGAGGGTATACAGATCTGCTCACAGTCATGTTTGCCCTCAGCGCACAGGTCAATGGCTGAACCATAAACAATACAACATTAGTATACACAAATATTCCACTTTGTCTAGTCACACCAAGTACTATTAATCACAGAAATGCAGTAACATTTGTGTTATTGCAGTTCTATATGTGGCTCATGCAAGCAAAGCAATTCTAGCGAAATGCATTTTGGGATAGGGGGAAACAACCATTGCTTGTTTTAGAAATGGTTTAGGGATGCACATTAAATCCAGTCAAAAGCATTCAAACCAATTAATTGACAATAATGAAATAATAACACAGTAGTTACTATTTATTAAAGGATTAGCCCAATAAGATTTTGTGTATAGTTCCTGACTAACGTGTGCAGGTCTTCTCGTCCTCATTCAGAGAGTATCCTTGGTTGCAGTCGCAGGTGAAGACTCCAGGAGCAGGTATACAAACGTGCTCACAGTCATGCTTCCCCATAGCACACAGGTCTATGGCTGAACAATATATAGTACAACACCATTAGATTACTTCAATTTGTGACCTCATTTTAATATTTATTATGCCTCAAAATCTGGATTAGTGTTAGCACTGAGACAAAAACACTATCTTTCTACAAAACACAAGTCTCCTCCTTCAATTTTTTTTTGGACTTTCAACATATCTAGTCCAATCTATAAAGTGTAATGTTAAATGCTAAAATATTATTAACAATTGACAACAAATACACCTGATTAGTCTCACTAAAGCATGACAAAAGACTCAAACCAAAATGAATAAAATACATGTAAATACAAAAAAGAATGAGTGAAAAAAATTATGACAATACAAGAATGAAACATCTTGGGTAAGCCAAGTCTACAAAAGTTGGTGATTACTTCAAGTCCAAGGGGAGGATTTATCCAGGGCTAAAAAAGATGCATGCCCAGTTTTATGGCAAACATGTTTTGTTTTGTTTTTTTTAAAAAAGAGTTTTGTGAGTGTATATAGTGTTAGTTTGTCTGACTAACGTGTGCAGGTCTTCTCGTCCTCGTTCAGAGAGTATCCTTGGTTGCAGTCGCAGGTGAAGACTCCAGGAGCAGGTATACAAACGTGTTCACAGTCGTGCTTCCCCATAGCACACAGGTCAATGGCTGAACAATATATAGTGCAAAAGCATTAGTTTACTCCTTGTAAGCAAATTCAAATTCTAATAAACTAAGGGCAACAAAAAATTGTTGTAAAACCGTGTGATCCTCTACAGTTTCAACATAGCCTGTCCTATCTGTAAAGTATAATGTCATGCTAATTATTGTGACGATAACACTATACTATAACTACACTTAATAATCCTTAAAGGTGTATTGTGCAACTTTTCTGGTTAAAAGCTTTTCTCCATGGAGATGTTACTGCTTTGTCTGGAATGTTTCACAGTACGGCATTAAACCATTCTACATTCATCTAGACCAAACCAGGCCAAGTTACAGGTCAGGTCTGTGGAGAGACAACCCCACTCACAGTCAGAATGCCTGTTTTTTAGGTACAAAACCACCTGTTATGTAATAAATCTGAGGTAGATCTGGCTAAAGTCATACTGTGGAACATTCCAGGTAGAACAATGACATATCCATACAAACAAGCAGGTGATGGACCCAGAACCAAAAAGTTACATAGTGCACCTTTAATTCATGAGGAACAAATATGTTATTAAGAATGATTCAGGCTTATTTAAGTCTTAATTAATACCCTATCTCTGAAGACTAAGTCTTCATACTTAAGGCTAAGGTGCTGTTGTCATAAAGTGTAATCATTTTGTCAATATTTTTGTCTGGCAAAGGGACTAACTCTGGTACATTACCCTTTTTAATATTAATTCATGTGTTGTATGCTGCCCATTCAAAAAATAAACACATAAACAAAAAGAAAAGAGTTGGAGAATAGATTTGATGACAAAAATGAATTGCTGACATCTTGGGTAAGCGTAGGCGATTACTTCAAGTCCAAGTAAAGGATTTGAGTAAAATCTATGTTGTATGCAGGGCAAAAAAAAGATGCATGCCCTGTTCTACGGTAAATGTGTTTTTAAAAAAGAGCTTTCTGAGTATATATAGTATGAGTTTGTCTGACTAACGTGTGCAGGTCTTCTCGTCCTCGTTCAGAGAGTATCCTTGGTTGCAGTCGCAGGTGAAGACTCCAGGAGCAGGTATACAAACGTGCTCACAGTCATGCTTCCCCATAGCACACAGGTCAATGGCTGAACAATATATAACAACCTGGGCATTAGTTGTGTAAGTTCACTGATAGTGCTGATGATATTTGTCTACACATTAACAATCCTGGCACAGCTCTGTTATACATCAATTCTTATGGGGTCAGATATATTTGATGCTATGCTAAGATAAGACAATTTTGTTTTGTATATTGTGAGGAGTGTTTGAAGTCTATAGACAACTAATAGTGTTTGGGACTAACGTGTGCAGGTCTTCTCGTCCTCATTCAGAGAGTATCCTTGGTTGCATTCGCAGGTGAAGACTCCAGGAGCTGGTATACAAACGTGCTCACAGTCGTGCTTCCCCATAGCACACAGGTCTATGGCTGAACAATATATAACACAAGAGGTTACTGCTATGTAAGATAAAAGCTCAAGTCATTATATTTTGAATTGGCATCATCTTGGAAACTAGTGGCTAAGACAAGTATCCTTAATAGGGTTTTTGAGATTGAGATTTCATGACACAGCTCCTTTGTTTCCGTATGGAGAGCTCCTTGTCCCCCCTGTGTCATTTATGTGAGAGTTCCTTTGTCCTCATGGAGATTTATTTAAGGAGGAGGCCTTAGGCCTATTCTTTTTTTTTACTGAAAGAACAGAGGTGAAGTTTAAGCATCTAAATACTGGGCTTAAACTTGTTTAAAATGGGTGTACACTGTGATATTTTACTGTGTGAGCAGGTTAGTATATATGACCATCACAGTGGACACATCTCTGTTGTGAGCTTTCTATGAGATTCAATTGCACTGTGAGTTTTGGGAATCATTTGGAGCATCATGAAATTGAACAAAATCACACAGTGTACGCCCATCTTAAGATTTTATAATGACAACAACCATGCCCCTAAATACTGTATGGCTGAAGTATAGGTGTCTCTGGTGATCTCTGTGCATATATCATGTACGCAGTGAGTTTGTCTGACTAACGTGTGCAGGTCTTCTCGTCTTCGTTCAGAGAGTATCCTTGGTTGCAGTCGCAGGTGAAGACTCCAGGAGCAGGTATACAAACGTGCTCACAGTCATGCTTCCCCATAGCACACAGGTCTATGGCTGAACAATATATAAAGAAACATTACTTCACTACTTTTTCCATAATAAATATCTAACCTAATCAACCTGGTTTAATGTTGATTGTGTACTGCATGTTGCCCATTCAAAAAATAAAAAATTTAAATTAGTTGTGTAGACAGATTTGGTGACAATACAAAATTGAAGCGCTGCCATCTTGGGTAAGACAAAAAATGGCGGTTTCTTAAAGTCCAAGTGAAGACTTTGTAACCAGGGCAAAAAAGACAAGTGCCCAGTTTTATGGCAAAAGTGTTTAAAAAAGAGTTTTGTGAGTGTATACAGTATGTGTTTGTTTGACTAACGTGTGCAGGTCTTCTCGTCCTCGTTCAGAGAGTATCCTTGGTTTGCAGTCGCAGGTGAAGACTCCAGGAGCAGGTATACAAACATGCTCACAGTCATGCTTCCCCATAGCACACAGATCAATAGCTGAACAGTATACAACATAAAGAAGTCAGTACTATATATGACAACTTCAGCAACATACAACCCTGGAACCTCAAAACTGTCTAACAAAAACTGTCACAGTGTGCCTCTGTCAAACCTCTGACCTGAGTTCAGTAATCTCCCAGGGAGTGCTCATATGGGACTATTGACATATTCATAGAACATGAGTTACATCTAGTTACTATTGTGTAAAGAATCCCTCAGTCGTCCAGGTAGAATTCATGGCGAGGAGAAAATTCAGTTTATCGACTGGACAAAAGTTAGTTTGGTTGAAGACGTTTCGCAGCTCATTCAAGCTGCTTCTTTAGTTCTGGTCAGATGCTGGTGGACACTTCCTTATATCTGCAGGGAGGAGTTAACTAAACTGAAACTAACACACTACTTGTTTACAGGTTCTGTTAGTTAGTTTGGCCTATTGACCTGTGTGGTGTCTAATTAGCATAACAATTCATGGCCATAATGGAGTTTCCACACCTCTGGACCTGACCTGGCTACACCTGTTGTTCTCTTGTTTGTTTTGATTTAGCTTTGAGGATGGAGTTGTAAATAGGAGATAGATGGTGTCCTTAGCGAAAACGTCTTTAACCAAACTAACTTTTGTCCAGTCGACAAACTGAATATTCTCCTCGCTCTAGTTACTACTGTTATTTTTTCTTATTTTTAAGTAATGCATTATTAGTTACAAAAATGCATAGCTGTTAGAACAAGCACAAGCATTAGAGCATTCATTTCTAAAAGCTTGAGTTGCAGCAGAAAATGATTTGCTTTCTCATGTTACAGTGTAAACTTTGTGATCTCATTTTGGGAAATTTTAATGATTCTTATGTGATAACCCTCACTTATGTGCTCCTAAAATCTAACAGACTCTAGTGATATATGTAAGGTCATGTCGTATACAGTGGGTGTAGTGTGTGTTCTGGGCAAAAAAGACAAGTGCCCATGTTTAAAAAAAAAAAAAAAGAGTTTTGTGAGTGTATACAGTGTTAGTTTGTCTGACTAACGTGTGCAGGTCTTCTCGTCCTCATTCAGAGAGTATCCTTGGTTGCAGTCGCAGGTGAAGACTCCAGGAGCAGGTATACAAACGTGCTCACAGTCGTGCTTCCCCTCAGCGCACAGGTCTATGGCTGAACAATACACATGCATAGATCATTCACATCTGAACTTACATAACCCAACTTCACCACCCTCATCTCGAGGTCAATCTGAACGAGTCTTCTTTTCACATGTTAACCGTAAAGCGCCTCTGGTATTTAGGTTACGCGGACAGTACAATTACACGCCGCGCTTCCTGAGCTATAAAGATTTGTGTGACCGCAAAGCCGGAGTTTTCCAAAAGTTGTAAATCGTCTGTATTTGAGCGACATCCCATGCTTTGTTCCTGCAGGTGTTGTGATGCGTGCAGCCCTGTGCAAACATGCTGCATAGCTCACACATGCTCATTTTCAAATATCTATCACTTGTCTGTGCAAAGGTTGGTAAATGCTTTTGTTTAGTTAATGGCGTCTGTGCTAGAAGGGCGCAGCTACGCTCTAATTTCCACAGATTCACTATGTTACTCTCCTTAAAGTGGAAGTTGGGGATTTTTGAAAGGAAGTTGTATCAGGTTGTGCATTAGCTTGAGTGACGGTGAGTGTGGTTGGTTTAAGGGCCCAAATTGTTGCCACGGTAACAGGGAGACATTCAGACACCACTCCTAAACCAAAGAATCTAACCCACAACCTGTTTTCAAAGTCCTCTGCCACATATCTCTAAGCACATGACGGCAAATTAAAGTCGCGCGTTCCTTTCTGTTGGTGTGTCTGCTACTTGCCTCTTTATCTCTAAGAAGATGTAATTGCTTTGTCTGGAATGTTCCACTATATGGCATTTAAGTTATCTATCTCCATGCAGACAAATAGGTCATGCCCCAGACCAATATGCAGGTCAGATCCGTGGAGAGGCAACCCCGCTCACAGTAAGAATGTTTTTCAAGGTAATTTTGAGTAATAAAAAAAAAATGCAATTGAATAAATACTAGATGGATAAGTACTATACTGTGGAACATTCCAGACAGGTGGATAGACAGGTTGTGGCCCCTTTACCAGAAAAGTTAATACACCTTATAATAGTGCTATTGTTTACATGTTATTATACTGTAGTAAACATTATAGTGTCTTTCTAACCACTGTTTGAACTTTACAGATGAATCAAGCAGCGGTTATTGCCATTTCTTTTCCAAGTTAATGGAACCCATGGCAAAGTAGGGAGGAGAGAAAATGAATTGTCTAGATTAAGAACAGACCTTTTTCACAATGGCTGGAAGTGCCGTGATGTAGGGTAAACGTCACTTACGTTAATGATTTTCTATGGCAAAATATCTGTGGAAATGTCTCACGTATTTTCCACCAGCTTCATAAATCTGCCCCATCACCAAATCTTCATCCAACAAAGTCGACAAAGAACATATTCTGTCCATGAAGAATTTATCCACAACTATCAAGGTAAGAAAAACGAAAACGTAAAGGCGAACAACGACGACGCATTAGTGAACGACTCCTGAGCAAATCTAACATTGTGGTCATGAATAAAACATAAGTAACTTGTTAACTCAGACTGATTCAACAATTAAAATCAAAAATCGATTTCATGATGTAGATGTTCGCATAGACAGAGAGATTTGTGCAGTTTAAATGCTAAACATGTAATCTGTAAACATCTGTAGCATTCGAACTGCACAAATCTCTCTATCTATGTTAATACCCACATCGTGAAATAAATTTTTAATTTTAATTCTAGAATCAGTTTGAGTTATTTATGAGCTACTTATTAATGAATTACTTATTACTTATGTTTTATTCATGACCATGAAGTTAGTTTTGCTCAGGAGTCGTTCACTAATACTGTTTGTTGTTGCTCGCCTTTACGTTTTCATCTTTCTTACCTTGATAGTTGTGGATAAATTCTTCATGGACAGAACATGATCTTTGTCGACTTTTTTGGATGAAGATTTGGTGATGGAGCAGATTTATGAAGCTGGTGGAAAATACGTGAGACATTTCCACAGATATTTAGCCATACAAAAGCATTAACATAAGTGACATTTACCCTACATCGCTGCACTTTCGGCCGTTGTGAAAAAGGTCTATAGAACCCACAACTAGTACCTAAAAATAGGACTCTGTTCAGAGTACAAACAAGTCCATTAGTATTTGAGGAGTCTGAAATATGAACTGATACACTACTACAACAATACATACCATGCATTTCAGAACAGATTTGTAGAGGACTGAACTACAGGTACAACAAGATTTTTCATCACAGCACCATTAGTTCTGTTTGCAATCTACCGAGCAACCTTACCCACCACCTCTCACTTACTGAAGCTAATGCATTACACAGATACACAACTTCACTTCAAAAACACTTTAAGGCAAACTTTGCAAATGAACAATAATCTAAAAGTGCTCTCTACTACCACTACTACCAACCTGACTGCAGTATACTTACCCTGGCAGGTCTTTCCGTTGGCGAGCAGCCTGTATCCCTCGTTACAGCGACAGTTAAAGCCCCCCAGCACACTCACACACTCGTGATCACAACTGTGGTTCCCGAACGAACAATAGTCGATCACTGAAGAGGGAAGCAGCACAGCCATTAGCCACTGCACAGCTTAGCAACTGAAGGGTTTACTTCTTTATACTTTCAGATATTATTACATAAACTAAATGGCTTTCTCAATATAATACAGTAAACTATGGTATATACAAATAGGATTTCATATATCATTGACCTCTAAAGGTACTTATTGATGGAGGTGTAATAAACTGTATTAATATTTGTTTTTAAAAAGTCTTATTTAGTTAGGTACTATGGCAACCCAAAACCAATTAGTTAAAGGTGCAGTATGTACATTTTCAGGTGGACTATGCCACCAGCTTGTCTCCATGGAAATGTTATTGTTTTGCCTGGATTGTTCCAAAGTAGGACATTTAGAGCTACAGATGTGCAGAGAGGCAACCCTGCTCATAAAATGGCTCTGTGTGGCTACGTTTATATGATGACGGTCTGAACAGAAGACGCAAAAGTGGCATCACGTCTTCACTCTTTATTTCGCATTTAGACCAGCGTTTTCAATAGGAAATCTGCGACTGGGTATGCATGCCATCCGACATGTTTGTTTCAGTGTACTGTATGTATGTGACGTAAACGTGTACGCGACGTGAGCAGATCTGACCAGAGTTTTGCGTCTTGGGCAGCGTAGACGGAAACTCTATGGCGGAGTGTATTCAACTTTTCCACTCTGGAGGGTGGTTTCAGATTTTTTCATTTTTAAGCCCCAAAAGTGCCATCACCGTCTAAACGAAAGGCGCTTCCGATAAAATATTTTGTCGTTTTTACCCACAAGCGTTCTCGTGTAAACAGGCCCTGAATGTAAATATGTTTAATGCCGAACTGTGGTATATTCCAGGCAAGGCAATAACATCTCCATGGTAACAGTAAAACGATGAAATCCTCTACTAAAAAAGTTGCATAGTAGACCTATAACCTCTCGCATCAATTCGCTTTAACTAAATTATGACAAAAATGTATACTATACTGAGTATGGATAAGTAAGTAATTGTTTGCAGGTAGCAATGCATTTTAAGATTGTAAGTAATATAAAATAATATAATAATATCGTTAGAATGCATTTAGTCATTGATAGCACATGCTGAAGCATCCTCAGCCGTGTGAATACATAGCTTATGTTATGATGTTAGCTGATTCAAATGACACTGTACTGACTTGAGCAGGTCTTCTTGTCGGCGTTCAGCTGGTAGCCCTTGTTGCAGTCGCAGGTGAAGGCTCCAGGAGTGGGGAGGCAGATCTGCTCACAGTCATGTTTTCCTTCAGCGCACAGGTCGATGGCTAAAGACATAGATGACATTACATTCTAGTGTTGTCACGATACTAAAATAAAATAAAATAAAACAGTCTCTAGTAAAAGTCTCAATTTAGATACTAAGGAATAGATCTGATACTCAATACCGATTCTGATACCACAATGATAATAAAAAAAAACTCTGTCTTTACAAAATAGAATGCCATTTTCAACATTAAATCGTAGTACTTTCTTTTATGTGGCCTTATGTCTATGTCATCCCTCAGTGGTCCAAGTAGGTTCCATGGGCATATACTAGTCTATGTGGCCTTATACTTGTTCTGATACAGCTCAAGATCATTTTAATGCCCCCAAATTCATTCACTGAGCTAAAAATAAAAGAAGAATGAGAACTTCGCACATCAACCACTTGAGACGGGTGCATTGGAGGAGAGGGAGCAGCCCAAGAACATAGAAAAAAATCCCGCGTGCAATGTTTTGGCACTAGGTTTGCCTGACGAAGGCCTAGTGCCGAAACATTGCACAGTTTGTCCTAATAAATCTCACAATTTGCAAGTAAGACGGTGTGCGGAAATTTTCTCTATATTCACTGAGCTATAAAAAAAGTATGGGTGGTTTGGTTGTGAATCTAAAATAACTTAATTACATAATTACAAATACAAAATCTCAGTTAAACAGAAAATATGTAACTTAAATTAAATCCAACTTCACAGAAATCTCTCCCATATAGACTAAGCTAGATTACCTTTAAAACTCCCCTAAGTAGGAAGGACCTGAGATCATTCTAAAGCTATTCAGAAAAGGTTCATTTCAATCCTATGAATGTAACATTTTTATTACTGATACTAAAATGAGTATCTATTTCCGATACTAGTTTTAATATTGATTAGTATCTAATTTTAAACCCTATTAAATTCACAATGTTTACATGCACGACTGGAAAACCGGATAAACAGATTTTTCAAAATGCATGTAAACCTGCTAATCCTGTAGTTTAAATCTGTACAAACATGTTCTGAAATGTGATGAGTTTGTCAGTTCATATTTTACTCTTTTTGTCGGTTCTTCAAGACGTTTTCAAAATGTGAACTTTAAACGGAGTCCCATGATTAAAACATAAATCCCAAATCTGTCTACAGTTGCAATGCTTGTCAGAAAAATCACAATTAGATATTTTCCCCAAATCATTCAGCCCTTCCAATCCCCACTCAACTTTTCCACTAGCCCAGTTGTGCTGACTATGTCCCATACACATATAAATAAATACATTAATGAAATAAGTATCTTTAATATATCTTATTTTTTGCTGTTTTGCATAAACCAGTGTAAAAATGACTGACTGGACATTTCACACATTTCAGTCGTAACAGATTGGACCTGGGCTGACCTTTGCAGGTTTTGCCGTCGGCGTTGAGGGTGTATCCGGGCAGACACAGACACTGGTACGACCCTGGAGAGCTCTCACAGATGTGCTCACACCCGTGCTCCGACTCCAGGCACAAGTCCACTCCTGCACACACACAAGAACACACAAAACACACACATCATAAGGCCTAAAGTGAAAAACATGAAGAAATATACATTGTTCCTATCTCCTTAGAAGTGGCTGTCATTTATTTGTGACCAATTTAAAGGAACTGTGTGTAGCCTGGGCTTTAACAGTTTTAAAAAAGTACTACAATCACAACTGAACTTAACTTACCTGTGTACCTGTACGTATCATCCTCAGTATATGGACAGGCCTCAAGTGAAAGCTCAGAACCTCCAGAATTCCCTCCCTGAGCTGCAAAGGCTGCACTAGCACTGATTCATGATACAGGTGCTGGGGTTTAGGTAGTGACCATTCAGAGTCTTACTGGATTTTATTCTCTAATAGTTATTTAAACTTAGCAATGTTGAAATATAATGTAGTAAAATCTAGCTTTCCAAAATGTGCCAAACTCCATAAAGCAGTCTAAAATTCCCACCAAATAAACTTTCTGCAATATTTATACAAGTTGTTTTTGAGTAATAAACCTGTTCGTCCATTGTATTGACCTATTGTACCACTGTAAAACTTTAGTAACCTCTTCCACTACTTTAAATCTGTCTACTTCTTGGTTCGCCTGTGGGAAGCTGGCCCGATGTGGTTGTAGTAGGAGGCAGACTAAAAAGTATCTATAAAACAGACTTTGGTTGTGAAATTAAAACATCTACCTTTTATACTGTCTCCAGCAGGAAGGACTTCCACAGGTAAGTACCATTTCCTTTCACAGGTGAGGATCAGAGTTTAACTTTAGCAGTATCTAAATCTAAGTCTAAGTCTCTTTAAACCAAAGTGTTTAAAGTAAATTACAAATGTTGACCACATACACAAAATCAAGGAAAGAAAAAGGAATTCAAACCAGTTCTCCCCTCCACTTGGTTCGGCCCAGGACCTCCCCCAGAGGCTTTAAAAATGGCTGACCTGGAGCACACCCCTCTTAGTTTGGACCATGTGGAGGTGCAGGTAAGTAGTGAAAGGATGTATGAAGGTAAATATGTTGCAAAATGAGAAAGCGTGTAAACTTGATTTGAGAACTTGTAGGATATAATGTGAGAACGTGTAGAACAAAACTTTGAACTTGTAATTACCTATTTTCATGTACGTTTGTGTTGAATTTGCAGTCACGGTGAAAAAAGAACACACGAGTGCTTGAAAAAAATGTGTGCACTTGCGGACTGAAATTTTCACTTGTGGAAAATATTTACACACACGGGAGAAAAATATGAATAAATGTGTAGATTGATATTTGCATGAACAGAGTGACATCTGCATCCATTATGACTGATACAACCACAATTGAGTGACTGCAACTTCTCAAATGTGTCCCAGCAGGTTCAAATCTGTGCACCATGACATTTTGCGATGTGCATGTGGCAAAACTGATTTGCACTTGTAGAGAGCTGGGGGGAGGAAGGGATAGGGGAAGGAGGAGGGTTTGACCAGTCAGAAAGCGGGAAGATGAAGAATCCGTGTATCATTCGTTTTTCAAAATAAAACCAAATATAACAAAAAAACAAAACTATTTTCTTTGTTATTTGTGTCCAAAACCAAAATGAAAAAAAAAAAAAAAAAAAAAGGAATAACAGCCGAAAAGTGCAAGTGCACACATTTTTTTTCAAGCACTCGTGTGTTTTTTTTCACCGTGACTGCAAATTCAACACACACGTATATGAAAATAGGTAATTACAAGTTCAAAGTTTTGTTCTACACATTCTCACATTATATTCTACAAGTTCTCAAATCAAGTCTCTCTCATTTTGCAACATATTTACCTTCATAAGGATGTATCAAACTGAAATGTATAACTAAAATGAATAGGTTTAGCCAAATAAAATATATATTTGTGTGTATGTGTGGTAATTTAACTGAAGTTTAACTAAAACAAACATGACCTTTTAGTTGGATGTGGTAGCACTGTGCATGATTAAATTAACAGTAGATTAATGGGACAAAGACCCACTGTGTCACTATACCACTGGCCTAATGTACAGGTGTGTCCTATTTAGAATGAAACCCCTAAATCTTTTCCGGAGAGTGATATTTAGGTGGGTGATCCGATCCTTTATGATAACTTGGCAAAATGTTCAACTGCCTTTAATTACGCAAAGAATTCAGGTTGGATTTAAATTAAACCAAAAACATCACAAACCCATACAAAGAGTTGGCTGTGATCTGAACTTGACATGACTGGAACCAATTGAAACTATACTGGTATATAGAGGGGGAAGATAAATGCTGTGTTAAGGTTACAGTTACAGTATAGTGCAGCATATCAAATCTTTTTCCCCTCGCAAGCCACTCCTAAAATTACACAGCACAGATGGCTACATTTTTGTGCTACCCTCCAATCCTGGGGCATTATATACAAGAAAACAAGTAAAACATTGTGTGGTAAGATATTGACAAATAGCTTTCCAAAATGTTAGTGTAAACTGACAGTTTACTGTAAAAATGTAATAATTTTAGTCTAAAAGCAAAAAATTAAACATATAAATCTGTTTCTTCTCTCTTTTCTGTCATTTCAATACGAGAATTTTTTTGTTTTGTTTACATCCTGCATTTCCACACGTGCACAGTAGCTGGTAGGCAAAAAGTCAGTGGGGCCGTTCATTTGTGTTGTGTTGTCTGACATGAGATAACTTGTCTTATTTTGAAGTAGGTTTTTCATTTAATTGTTTTGACATGACTTCATCATCTTACTCTAAAGCCCTATTTGCACTGGATTACTTTTACCTGGAGTCCCCTCGTAAATTGTAATAATTACAAATGTCGCTTGTGTTTCTAGTCCCTTGTGAATCATCCATGTCTGTAAAAATTCCCCCGAATTTTACCTCCTGTAATTCTGCAAACTCAAAGCTCCTCATGTGAGTTTATTCATTTACTCATTTCTGTAAATTGTCCTGTTTTTCATCTATGCATTGAAGCTAATAGTGATTGAAAACATCTTTACGTCCTGTTTTAGGTTCAAATACAAAATAAATCAACTATATTTATTCTCCGCAGACTATACTCTAATCCAGCTATTGTATTTTTGGATAATTAAAAAGTAAAAAGCAAAAGTTTGGATGGAGGGGCTGTATCATGGTGTGGATGTCATAGTGATCGTGTCGGCGATCACATCAACGCAGAAAGAAACGGTGTTGGACGGTACACTGTCGAAGAACAAACAACATTTGGGACGCGATGAATTAAAACTTTCTCGTGTTGTTCTGGTATGTTTATCAGTCCAGCATTTCTGGAATAAAGTAAAAACTGGTGGTTTACTGACATTGCTTATGCCGTGCGAATGTACACAAAAAACTCAAACATTGTGGGGTAATTTAAAATTTAACTAATCCTGTGTGAAATTAAACTAATCCTGTGTAAATAGGGCTATAGTCACTGAATGTTGAGGATCAAAAATATTACTTTGAGAAGTTAAAACTTGCCAATAACTGTTGACTGCTGATTTTGACTTGATAGGTTTTTTTGCCTACCAAAATGGCTGCTGCCCCGAATGTGACATCGTGTTTTCTCGTATGATTTAATTTATTTTATTTTATACACAGACATGAAGAGAACATGCCAAAAACCTGTATGTCCTTGTATGTATGTTATGTATGTTATAACACCACCTGATGGCTGATAGTCTCTGGTTATCCTCCTTACCGCAGAGTTTGTCCTGGAACTGCAGTCCGAACTGGTGGATGAGATCGAAGGACTCGACCAGGAAGACGTGGTCCTCGAAGGGAGGGGAGGCCATGGCGCGCAGTGATGTCATGTCTGCTCTGGCCACGCCCACAGCGAAGATCTCGATGCCCTTGTCTCTGGCCTCTGCTGCCACCTCGGCCACGCGGTCCTGAGGGCGCCCGTCTGTCACGATCACAGCCACATTAGGCACCTGAGAGGAGACGGAGAGAGAGAGGTAAAAGGGTCACTTACATTCTTTACATACTCTACAAAAACTATAAAACACTTTCACTTTTTATTTATATTATTTAAGTATTAGACTTTATAGAGATTACCAGACATTGTACTCAAACATGAATGGATGACATATCAAAAATCTTCAAACATGTTTTTAATGACGGAACAACATTACATGGTAGAAAGCTCCAAAAACATCCCCTTGTTTAAAGGGACAGTCCGGAATTTTTTACATAGGATGTCATTTCCTAGTGAGCCAGAGTGTTGGAGACGTGTGGAGACACTTTTTGAAAATATTCCATCCAGTCCTTGTATTTGCAGAGGTCGCTGGTGCTAGGCTAGTGCATGTCAATGGCCATAGTTAGCCTGCCAGTAAAAACAGTCTTACACACTCCACAAAACACCCGAAGCAAATATATTATTACACCAGACTGTCGATATGAATGTCTGTGTTGATAGAATAATGTTTGATGTAAAACTAACCTTGCATCGCATGAATTGTCGCATGTTGAGGGACTGTTTTCTCAACAGCAGCGGAATTTTACTTTGCCGGCAAGATAGGTGCTAAGTGATATAAGTCCGGCGCTTTCCATCAGGAAGTACAACTCGCTGCTGCTACTCAGACATAAATCCTTCAAATGCAAGGTTGGTTTTACTTCTAAAACCTAGGCTAACTTGGAAATGAGGTCCTGTAGTTTATTGGCTGTAAGCAAATAATAATAACAATGGAAATAAAAAAAAAAAAAATACATCCTTGGTTGCATTTTCTACTTACTGAAAACAAGTCAACTGTTAATGAATGCCACATTAAAAGGGCTGTCCCCAATTTTTTCCATGTAGTAGAGTAAGATCAGTTTTGCCCCAGTACAAATCTATTGTAAAAGCAGCTCTTGGGATCAAAATGAGACTGCATGCTGCCTGTGTGTAGTCCTAATTTCATTGTTGTTGGTTTTTTGTCTGAGAATCAGAAAGTGCACATTTGGCTTGCTAGTTATTAGCTTTTCTGTGACTGCAAAACTCTGCTCAAACCTTGTTCACGAAAGTGCTTAGAAATTCATCACAGTGAATAATTAGGATACTATGTGTTGGTTAAATAAGGAGTAACTTTGTACTGTTACTATTATTTTGAAGGGCTAAACCACTAAAAACATAAACCAGTTTAAACATTTATAATATTTATGCCAATACAACATTTTGGCTCACAGAAGAGCTTCTTGTTACCTTGGGCCTATCTCCCTCAGCCTCAGTAAAAGCCACGTTCATGACATATTTGATGGCCAGTCCTGTCATGGTGCCCTGGGCCAGGGGGATGATCTCGTTGATGTTCTTCACGATGGCGTCCATTTTGGTGTGGGTCTTCAGGGAGAATTCACTGCGCACCTGCACCAAAACACCGCAATATATATTTTATGGCAATGAAATGACATTAACTATTGTACTACTGGAAGGCATATTGGATTTTTTACATCATCAAAAAATTGTAAGATAAACTTCAAGGATGAGAGAGAAGAACTCAAGTTAGTGTCAGTAGTGGGGATTGAACCAGAAACCTTAACATTACTGGCCAAAGAGAGACACTTACATCTCAGATTGTGTCCACAGAGCTTTAATATAAATTACTTTTTGCTGTAAGCTTTAAATATAAAATTCGTACAGCTGAGAGAGACAAGACACATTTGAGAAAGTTTTTACCTGGCTGGAGTACTGCACCACTCCGACCCGGGTTGTGTCAGGTCCGATGTCCAGTTCGTTGAGAATGTCGATCATGAACTTCCTCATGGTCTCAAACTCGTGCGGTCACTACGAGAGCTGTCGATCAGGAACACCAAGTCTACAGGGCCAGACTTACACTTGGGCTGTGCACCTGCAACAGAGCACAACAAAGAATGACAAAGATACACTGACAAGTTGTAGCTAGGCCAAGAGTAAGATCTAATGCAAAATGGACTTTTTGAGGTTTCAAACTATGCTTCTATCCTCATCAAATCTTTCTAGTTTTCATCATGCAATTTTCTAACTTTGCTAATGCCAAACAGGCCTATTGTTTTGGTTTGTTTGGCCACTTCACTTTTGGCTTCTTCTCAAACTAAAATGTGTGTAAAATCCCTCAGTTGTCAAGGTAGAATCCATGGCAAACAGAGAAATTCTGTTTGCCAACTGGATAAAAGTTTATTTGGTCAAAACTACAATGCTGTGCTGTGGTTGGACTACACTTCTGATACTGCAGTTTTAAGGTTAAAGATCAAATGCTGTTTTTGAATTCATTGATTTTTCTTTGATAAGTAACACGTTCAGTTCCAGTTTGGACCTGGTCTTGGTTTCCTGATGGTTTATTCCTGGCTTGAAACCAGTTTAATCTCTACTTAAAGCTGGGATTTAAACTAAAACTGAACACCTGGGATGTCAATAACAGAATGGGGCAGTTTTGCTTTACCATACAGCCCATTATTCACCACTTTCCCTGACCTGGAAACACCTGCTTTGCTCTTTAACATGTCTGCCTCACCTCCTCCATCTTGTAACATCATCTGGGGGTCAGAAAACAGAAGGCAGGCGGGAGCTGTGAGGCCTGGCCCAGCTCACTGTGGTGCGAATTTATGAGCTGGAAGAGTTACAAGTGATGAATGTACAAGATTCATCATAAAGATCACACCAGGAGCCAACGTAGCGTGCAGTTCATATTTCATTTCAATCACGCTTTTATAAAAATGCTTGGTTTACTGTCTTGGGTGATAAATCAAGATCCGCAGACATTGTAGAACAAGATGATGATTTCTTTGGGTCTGGTTTGGTGATGTTTAGACCTGGTTTAGTCCTGGTTATGTTCAAGTTTTAGATTTATTTAGCAATTAATTGTCTGAGCTTTTGAGCTGGATCAATATTTGTTTTATTTTGTAATTTTGTAAGGCCTCGAAGGTGCACTATGTTATTGGATTGCGACATATTCCACAGTATGGAAGTAACTTTTCTGTCTAGCTTTTATTCAACACCATGCACACAAAAAGTCTCATGGGCTTCTAAATAATTCAAATATGAGAGTAAATAAGTAAGATTAAAGGTGCATTTTGTAACTTTTCTGGTGGAGAGCCCGTCAAATGCTTTTCTCTGACATGTTAGCGCTTTGTAATGTTTCACAGAATGGTATTAAACCTTTCTATCATCATGGAGACCAAACCAGACCAAGTTACAGCTCAGATCTGTGGAGAGACAACTCCGCTCAGTCAGAATAACAGTTTTTCTTGGTATTTTTGAGCAATAAATCCACCTGTTGTTTAATAAATGTAGAACTGATTTAATGCCATAGTATGGGACATTCCAAGCAGTGCAATGACACATACATAGAAACAAGCAGGTGACAAATCTCCAAATAAAAATGTACATTTAACAAAACAAAAACAAAAATTGGCACAAAAAACTTAAATAAAACTCTCCCTTGCCCCACCTCTCTCTCCACACGCTCAACACAAAATTTCAGCTCAGACTAGGGATGGGCATTCGATTAAATTTTCTTAATCGATCGTCGGGAGAATTAACGATCGATTATGGATTAATCATTGACATTATTTATATTAAAATTTATCATCATTATTATTACTATCTGCACTACTAATCTGCATAAATAAATTCAACCGTAACGACTCTAGAGCCACATCAGCCCGTTTGAGATTGTGTTTAATGCAGCTTTGCGCAACTCTCACAGAAACGAAACTTAAAACCGCATGGCTAATTTGCATAAATTAAGAAGTAAAAAACAGCTCTTGTGCGCTGATGCGACACGACTCAGTGGAACACAGGTTAGTGCGTTTGTCAAAAACCAGGACACCGTACGGGGGGTGGTTTTGACAAAATTACGACATTGCGCTACTCCTCCCACTTGTCCCGAATGCAACGGAAAGCGTGGAATTTCTTGTACAAGTCATCATTAAATACGCATATGCGCTTCGGCACGTTGCAGGCGGACTGACCGTTTGTGTCTGCTCGCTCCTTCTGAGTGCAGAGAGCTACATGTACAGACCCCTGTTTGGTCACGCTACGCACAGCAACCTACATATGGTTTGTCGATTAAAATGAATGTAATCGATGAAATTCTTAATGATCAATTACCGATTAATCGACTAATCATGCCCTAGCTCAGACCACTCTTTAGTTTGCTATGCATTTTCTAATGAGCAACTAAATAATTCAAATATAAAAGTGTAAATGAATGCAGTGTACTGTTTGTGTTTCGTGGTCAGACCTGCTTTGGGTCTTGCGGTGGTCAGCACAGCCAGGCTTAGGAGGAGTAAACAACACAACCCAGTCAGCTGTCCCATCTTCATCCAAAGTTGTGTTTACGAAGCTTTTAGTGGTCTTCAATCGCTTTGAACTGTGGAAAAAGAAAAGACCAATGTTGTCATGGTGTGTCATTACATTATGTAAAAGTAAATGGAGTGGTTAGTGGGATGTGGCAATAAACAATAATACTGTTTAGTGCAATAAAGAGGGTAGATAATAATTGTTCTGCAATCTGTAAAAGTTGTCTAAATATGGAACTCTTTCATTAAATTATTTATAATACATCAAACATAATGATTGATATCCATAAAATAATTATCGTGATATCAACGTAGAAGGTCATATATTATGCAAATCTGTGTTTTTACCTCATCACAAACACACCTGCAATTGTGTTTTGTTCTTTATTCTTAGCTCTGTTCTACCTTGTGATGTCATGAATTGGTACTTTTCAAGTTGAGTACTACTGCTACTTTTTAAATTTAGTTCAGTACAGATTGATAATTCCAGATCTGAAATCATCCAAATGGTTCTAGTGAAGATGTATGGAGTTTAACAACAGTGAAGCGCTCATCCTAAATATGCAGAGAATAGGATTTGTGTGAATGAAACAAAACACAACTCCAGGTATGTTTTTGATGAGGAAACATCATTAAAACATAGGTCAGAAAGTAGCATAATATGGACCCTTTAATCATTTATTTTGGCCATGATAATTGTTCAAAATTTTAATAATATCTCATGCTGCTTAAATTGAATTTAATGTAAAGTACAATAATTTGTTCTACACTCTTCTTGATATACCTTGCATAACACACAGTTGGAAAGGCTAGGTTTGAGTCTCTAGAATCTAAATCCTCTTTGGATAAGCAAAACTAGGGATGCACCAATCCAGATATTTCAGTTATGATACCGATACTTTAACTGTAAGCATCTGCCGATACCCGATATTAACAGATACCAGTGTAAGGATGGAAAATGACATTTATTTCCTTAAAACACACTTAACTTAATATGCAAGAGATCCAGTTATGTTATGTAACTGTTGCTTATCCTTCAAATAACTAGTGAATAGTTTTGTATGAATAAAAGTTCAAACATTGAGATGTTCCAGGCCTAAATCCTCCTGCAAAGAGTCTTATTACATCAAAATAAAGGCCCAGCCAGGATAACAATGGAACCAATGTCATGGAACCGTTATCCAATCCAAAAAAAAAAATCTGTATCAATGCTGATACCCAATACCAGTATCAGTATTTCTAAGAGAATTAAAAAAAAAATACTTAAACTCTTTGATTACATATCAGATTGAACAACAGCAGTAAGGAACTTTCAAAACAAGGGCTCGGTCATCATTGAATTATAAAAATCATAAAAGGATGGATACCACATTGGACCAAAAGTAGAGATTATAAACGTCAAGCATTATCCAACTAAAGCCACTTTACAACATTCTTCTCCACTGCGTTTTCGGTCTAGTCACACATGGTCTCCTTGATGGTTTTTAGACTGCTGTTAAGTCTTTCTTCTTGTGTTTTGTGTCCCATGATGATAATAATAGCTGGAGAGGCATTGTCTAGTGCATGGTACATTCCAGTTCATCCCTGTCGTAAAGCAGCAGGCTCCTAACACCTGGATAACCCTGTGTAATGGAGGGCTGTTGCTAATCTTGAGTCTCTGTAATTATGTGAACAAGCCATCAACGCCGCACAGCAAGAGGTGTTTATTCCAGGGCACGCTTCACTGCAAGCAACCAGAGAGGAGGAAAACTCAGCTAAGATTCCCACATGTTATCAGACAAAGAAGTAATCTGTTGTAGGATTGTCAAAAGTCTCGAAAATCAGATACTAATCAATACTAAAACCAGTATCAAAACCTGATACTCATTTGAGCAAGTATCAAAACTAAAAAAGTCACAGGACAGAAATTAACCTTTCCTGAATAGCTTTAAAATGATCTTGAGCTGTATTAGAACAAGTATAAGAGCACATTGACTAGTATACGCCCTTGGACCACTGTGGAACCTGTCTAGACCATTGTTTCCCCAAGACTGGGTTACCACCCTCAGGTGGGTCGCAAGATATTTTTTGGGGTCACCTGATTTGCATGTTGCGCTCTCCTCCTGCACCCCAGACTGGAACGCGCTACGAAAATGCAGACAGGCCCACCTGTCTCATTAGAAATGTTGAAATGTTAAGACATGTTTGTATAATTTCTGAACTTTTAATTATTTTATTGACTATTTTGTTCCAGTGTTACTGGCTCAATTGAAAGTTGAAAAGAAAAAGAAATGGGCTACATTTAATGTCCAAATAGGTGACTTATGGAGCCTTTTATTGCTGGTTCAATTACTGTTTTTCATTGTTTAAATTAGTAATACTAATTGTTCAGAGAGACATAATCACTTGGTCAACAATAAAATATCCTCATTAATGTTCAATAATGGTCAAATCCACCTTTATTTTGTGATTTGCGAATAATGTCTATGGACTTGGGATGTGTCCCTAGATAAAAAGTTTGGGAAACACTGATCAAGACGACTGAGGGATTACACAGATATAAGGACACATGATAATATAAAAGAAAATACTCTCATTTAATATGAAAAATGACATTCGATTGTCTAAATATTATCATTGTGGTTTCGAAATCAGTACTGGGTATCGAGTCTGTTCCATAGAATAGAAATTGTGTTGGAAAATGTATTGTAACAACACTAGTCCATTGCTTTTCTCTTCACTTGTGACTGGGATCAAAGAATCACGAATAAGAATTTTAGTCAGTGTTAGAAAATTCTGTGAAACAAGCAAGAAATGGTACTGAAGCACCTAAAATGCTGAAATCCTGCTTAGACAATGGCCCTATTCATTGTCAATATCAATAACACATTTTTATTTTGCATTTCTGGATTATGCAACTTTGTTTTCAGCACACAGAGCAACCAAATGTTTTGAAAGGGATTATTTATGCTTGGAAAGTCAGAGGAATTCATTTTTCATCATTTAACTTGTTAAGTCCAAGAAGTGCTGGTAACTTAACTGTGATGATCCTAGTGTTTTACCAGACTCAGGATTTTAAAACCACTGGAGCTAAACTTAAATCCAGACTGAAGGTGGTTCTGCACATTCATGGAGACTGAGTGTGTGAAATGTCTTGCCCAAGAACACAATGCCAGTATTCAGTGAAGTGGGAATTGAACCAGCAACTTTGTGGAAAATTATTAGACTAGATTATATAGCTTCACAATTGCCACCGTATTCTTTGCAAGGCACTTTTTTTTTTAAAGTTTGGCCACTGTCAACCAAAAATATAAGGAATCCAATCAAATAAAAAATCTAATACAATTTTCTGTTGTATTTATTTATCTGAATATTTGAATCATTCTTATTGTATCTAATTTTAGTATTTTTCTTGAATCTAAACAAGACAGACTTTAAACACTGCCAAATTCCTTCCTCCAAAGTCTGAACTCTGCTCCAAACCACATAATTTCACTGACAAACAACTGACTGTAGACATCTCCATTACAAATATAAGCATATAATTGACGATTAAAACATGAAAAATAATAAAATTGCCATTAAAACTGTGTTAGCCCTAATTACAAAGCTCAAAAGAATTCAAAGCAGTCTGTTTAGTGTCCACAGAGAGAGACAGCAGGAAGATGTGGGAGGCCAGAGGAGCTGGAGACAGAGGATCAAAGACAGGATGCACATGGCTGAGGCCTTTGCTCTGGGATTACATGACCAGAACTACTGTAGTCGGACACAGCAGGGAGCCGGGTGGGCCATTTTGTGTTGATCTTTATCTGACCAAGAACTCATCTTTTTTTACTGTATATACTTGCTGCATGAGTTAATGTGTAGAATGGCAAAAGTACAATGTCCATCAATCCAAATAGCGTTTCCTTGAAGAACTCCTTTTTGGTATCAGCTATTTTTCTGCACTCAGAGCACCTTAACTTTTCCTGTACAGCACTGGTACCTTTTAAAGGGACTGTTCAGAATTTTGGACATAGGACCTCATTTCCTAGTTAGCCAGAGTGTTGGAGATGTGTGGAGACACTTTTTTAAAAATATTGAATCCAGTCCTTGTATTTGCAGAGGTCGCTGGTGCTAGGCTAATCTATTATTACGCCAGACTGTCGATGTGACTGTCTGTGTCGATAGAATCATTTTAGAAGTAAAACCAACCTTGCATTTGGAAGATTTATGTCTGAACAGCAGCAGCATGTTGTACTTCCTGATAGAAAGCTTGGCAGTGGCAAACTGATATATGAGAAAATAGTTCCTCAACAGGCAACGTTTCATGCGATGCAAGGTTAGTTTTACTTCAAACATTATTCTATCAACACAGACATTCACATCGACAGTCTGGTGTAATAATAGATTTGTTTGGGTTCTTTGTAGAGTGGGTAAGACATGCACTAGCCTAGCACCAGCGACCTCTGCAAATACAAGGACTGGATGGAATATTTAAAAAGCGTCTCTACACATCTCCACCACTGCAGAACTTAGAAATGAGGTCCTATGTCCAAAATTCCGAACTGTCCCTTTAATAATACCCAGCGCTCATCCTGACACATTGTCCCATGTAATAGGTTCTGTTCACCCTTGTGTCACAAACCAGGAAAATGTTTGGAAACATGTGATGACAACTTCCGGCGGGCTCTGTTTGCGGGAGTAAGTCTGACAACATCTAGGAAAAATTTGAAAATGGTCCAGTTTTCTTCATCTAAATGTGATGCCTTCATCTCAGTTTGCCAGCAAATAATACTTACCCCTGTAGCCAAACAACTTGTACTTTCCTACAAAGAGCTAGTTTTCAGCTGCCTGTAAGTGACATAGAAAATACGATTAGACAACATCCCCCATGGAAAGCTTTGGCAGGTTATTGAAGGCTGCTGCTAATAGTTGCTGAATCTATGGTTTTATCATACTTCAATGGGTTTTATCACAGTTGGTAGGAAAGCCCAGTGTCGGCAACTACACCAGAAATTGTCATTGCATGTTTCCAAATGTCTTCCTGGTTTGTGACGCAGCCTTGAGCCTATTGAAGGTTGGGTCAAATATAGAAGACAAATGTTAATGT